TTCAAGATTTGGGCTTTAAAACAAGTACAAAATCATGTTTCTAGCATTTGTGGTTGATGAGTTATAGCCGTTCAAAGATAACCAATCACACTTGCATTTCTTTTGTTGTTCACTGTATATCACTAAAATTACTATAAGTTTTATTTATTATCCGCAATCATATATAATCATTAAATATGCTTGGCATTAGATAGTATGGAAACTTCCATCTTATGAGTTAGTTTAGTTATATGAATTTTATTGCAGTTTGCAGAATTATGTAATTTTAATTTGATTAGATAATTAATTATTTATTACTATAATTGTGAATAATTATATGATTTTTGCCAATAAAGAGTTCGAAATATTTCTCTACTACTCAAATTTTACTTTATTAGTTGGTGCTAACTTCTTTACATTCATTTACAAGAAAAATAAAGTTTCGCTTTGAACTTTTATGCTTTATTGATAAAATATACCCTTATTTATCAAAAAGAAGATCAGTCATCTTAACTTTTTTGCTAGCCTTTTTAAAAGGAGGCATCCATATATCTACTATCACTATTATTTAGATCTGGACTATTTCTACCACTATCAGGACCTACTGGCAAACTCCTAGTATAGTGTTCTAATTTTTGCCTTATGATCTGATTAGTATATATCTCAGGGAACTGATCTTGAAGTTATCATCCTTTATATGCGAAAGTTTCCACTCACTATATATTTTCTTGTGATTTCCAGAGACAATAATATTATATCCTTGTATTTGTGCAAAATCGATATAAAATTCACATAAGTAACAACATTTTTTAGACACTGCTATAAACTCCCTTCCATAAATTTTATTGTCGATAATATAGGTCAATATGTTCATTTTCGCATGTAAGTATATACATTGTTTAACATCACCACTGTCAAGTGGTTGTTGTTGATTTATAGTATGATCAGTATATGTTCTACTTCTTCTTTTCATTATGTTAGTCTTTTTCGAATACCTATTCATAAAACTTTCATATTTGTCTTTATTAATAAACTCTCTGATAATATTTTTTCACAAATATATGAACTGATTATTTATGATAACAGGACTCCTTTTAATCATTATAGAATTAGCGAATAGTGATCTATATTATGTATTACATACACATTCTACAATACCTATCATAGACCCCACTTTTCTAATAAGTTTTAAAAATTTTGAGAGGACGCTGAACATAACTTTTCAATCATTCTTATCTTTAACTTCCTTATAATACATATTACAAACACAGGATACCATGATCATACTTGTTCTATCTGCATGATCAGTATTAGTCAAAAAAAATTCTTAAAAGATTTAACGTGTTCACTACTACCATTTTTTTTAATATAATCCCTAAGTTTTTTATATCTATATTCAAGTTTGGCAGAGCAGTATACCATTACAGCTTCAGCAAAAGCACTATTATTTCTGTCTGAGTACGCGAAAGCATTTTTTGATATATCTTTCAAATACATCATAATTTTATCAATATATTTAACATTTTGACTTTCCCAAGTGAAGTTTTTAGAAAGGTAAATTTCACAGTGATCTGATGAAACTCTTAGCCATATTGCAACTACTTCTTTCTTTTTTGCAAGTATTGTTGCTAAGTAATAGGAAAATCTCTCATAATCCTTCAAGGTAGTAACTTCTTTACTTGCTTTATCAACAACAAAGTTGATACTATAAGTAACACATTCTTTACTATACAGCTCTTTCTTGCCCTCTTTCAGCTCTTTTGCGTTTTTTCAGCTCTTTCAGCTCTCTCTCACACTTTTTCTTAAACTCTTCTGATGGAGTTATTTTAGTTACTTGGCTATATGATAGTCTGTAATTACTATATGATATACTTTAAATACAGCTATAATTAAATATAGGATGCAACGAATACATGTACAGTATAACTTGCCATAATTTATATACAGCAATCGGCAAGTGAATGTTTTGAAATCACATGATAATTAAGTTGATAAATTACATTAATTTGGATTGTGAAATGTTAAACAGGCAAATTTTTATGAAATTACTAGTCTAATAATGCATGTGGATATCATATTTATGCACTAGGCATATTAATTATATAAATTGTTTTTAATAATGCTAACTTTTGCTAAGATTTTATGTGATAATTCATAATGAGCTTACTAAGGTAATATTTATTTACTTCTTAATATTGCATGTCATAACTGACGATTATATTTATTCTATCTAAGATATCAGATTATATTAGATATTATGTTAGCTTAGCTTTAAATGAACGGAACACTGGCAGGCATTAGCACAGAAACTCTACTTCACTTTGTAAAAAAAGTTTATATATTACCAAACTTGTAATTTATTTTTTACATCAATAAGTCAGGAATTCTGATAAGGATATTACCTCATTTTTTTTATCTATGCTAACTAACTTTTGAATTATTCCATTTTATATAAAAAATTATTATCAAATATGTAAAGCTCTAAACGGTTCAGATTAATCTAAAAATTTTCAGTTCAGATCAACTTCGGTTCAGTTTCAAATTGCAAAAATCAATCCGAAAATTTTCAGTTCAGTTCAGATTTTTTTCAGATTATAAATCTAATCCGAACTGAAAAAAATCTGAACTGAAATGAAAATTTTGAATTAATCTGAAATTTCAGATCATTTGAAATGATTAAATTTATCGTTCTAAATGAACGATAAAGAATCGTTCAATTAGAATGATCAAAATATCATTCCAATCGAATGATAAGAAAATCATTCAATTGGAACGATCAAATTATCATTCCAAATGAACGATAAAAAAATCGTTCGATTAAAACGATCAAATTATCATTCATTTGAAATGATTGAAGTTATCATTCCAAACGATCTGAAATTTCAGATTAATCCAAAATTTTCATTTCAGTTCAGATTTTTACCAGTTTACAGTTCAGTTCGGTTTCAGATTGGCATTTTTAAGATTTTTAATCCAAATCGAACTGAACTGAAATTTTCAGTTCGGTTTCAGATTGGCCTATAATCCAGACTGAACTGAACCGTTCAGAGCATTACGAATATGCAATCTACTGATTCATTAAGAGAATTAAATGCTAAGCTCTTAGTTGAGATTACTGAGCTTAAGAAAGAGAATGCTGAGATTTTTAAATTTAGAGAGAAGTTACTAAAGTTTGCTGAGATTGAGGCTGAGAAAGTGAAGTTGAGATGAGAGCTTAAGGTAAAAAACGATGAGTTGTATAAAACTATAGCAGATTTTTCATCTAAGATTGATAAATTTAATGCTGAAATTGTGAAACTAAAGAAAGATAAGACAGCTATCATTAAACTTGAATCTGAATATATTAAGTTTAAAGATATAGTCACGAAAGTGAAACAGAGGCAGATGCATGATGATAATTCATCTAATTTCAATTCAGTAGCAGATCAGGTTAGCAAAGCTAATTCTCATCATGAGAAACTATTAGTAGATAAGGAAATAGATACTTTATTATTTGAAGAACTAATACCAGAGATGATTGCAAAGCAATTGGCATCAGCTGTTAATATTCCTATTATAGAGCAATGTGATTAGACATCCTTGAAAGATAAGGAAATGAATGTTTTCTTAAATGAGGTGTATAAGAAAAAAGTTAGTGATAAGATTAGACAGCGTAATAGAGAGAAGAAACTCCTGTATAAATCGGCTAATCAAGAGGCATTCTCAATTTCTCAGGATATTTCTTCTGTGAAGGATCATGATTATCAGAGCAGTTTGAAAAATTTGGAAAAAAATGAAAACTCTGATATGAATCGTGACGATCGGCAAAAAAATATTCCAGTCATTACTACTACGTCTCAGGAAAATAATGATGATAACATTAAGTTCACTAAAAATCAGGTTATAGAGCAAGAATTAATAAAGGAATTGCTTAGCAGTATTATTTCTGCTCTATCAATCTCTTTTGAAACTACAGAACAGATACCTTTAGTGTCACATTTATCATCATCTTTAGATATGACACAAGACTTAGTCCATTTATTCTAAATGCAATACGAGCTGAACACAAGATAATCTTATCTTAGTTCTATTATTCAAATAGTTTTAAAAATAAAGTTGATGAGATTTACCATAATACTAGAACTTCAGATAAAATAGCTAGATTACAAATATACAAAGAAATGCTAGAGCATCTACCTAGCATCACATTAGGAAACTTGCATATGAGAACCCTACGAGCTAAAAAAATCTGTATGTTATTTGGGAAAGGTGAAATGAAAATAAATAAAATTAAGCAAGTTACTTTCAGTGTTTATGACATTTCAAGCCTTACTATTAATCAAATTCAAAGTATTATCAAGAATGTGACTTTAGCACTAGAGGTACTAAATCATAATCATATGACTTCTGTCACGAATTGAGACGATCAAATTAATGCTCCTTTGATTTCAGCTGAGATAATCACATCTCATCCACAAATTTCTATGACTAATCCAACTTATGACCGATCCTATTTTCGCAAAAAGATATTGGATCAATATCCTAATCTATATAGAGAATGTAATAGTGAAATTTTCAATTATTATATGATTACTGATGAAATATCATGCGGGGTCTCGAGAAAGACCATCTACCCATTATGCAAATTAGGTCATGATGATAAAGAAATAGAAGGTAGATATAAAGCCAGATCTTACTTTATTAAATGTGAACAGCATGAAATTAAGATAACTGCATAGTCTAGTTACTTTAACTAGAGGCGCTTGTTTCCTATATTTGCTTATACTTCATTGTGATATTTTTTAGGGCTAAACTATTACCTACTGTAATTTAAATTGTTTACAGTCATATAAAAAGAAAAATGACTGAGTCTGATAAAATACTAATCCTGAATATCTGGATTGGCATGACAAATTAAGTGGGTTACCAAGTATTTTGATAGATAAGATTCGTTTCAATTTATATAAAAGATATAAAAAAGAAACTGGAAATGAGCTATGGAAATTATTAGAAGCTGTGATAAGTATATCAGAAAAACCTCAAGCCTTTGATTTCAAACCTATTATCTTTGAAGTCAAACCTGATCCAGAATTAATTATCAAATCCATCTTAAAGCATTTCACATACCTGAAATTCTGAAATAGTTTCAGAGAAATTGATAATTATAATTTTGCATTACCTTAGCCGTAGAACTCACCATGTCCTATTTGCGATGGAAAACATAAGAATTATGGATTACATGGCTTGTGATATAGGAATGGAATGGAATATTGTCTTACTTGCTTCACTTTAAGCAATAAATTCAAGTTCGTAATAGTAGCATAGTCTGGTCATGTAGACGGTAGACCAATACTTGAAATGCGTAGTACGATACTATATTGCAAAATAAGGGGCTGTATGACATAATACATATATTATATCTTGATACTTGTGATACATTGATAGCAACTATGATTCAGTTTTTCATGGTTTAGTTAACAAATAAATCATTTTACAGTAACTGTTTTATATTACCAATCATGGCAAACGAAATCCATGAATACTTTGATCAAAAATTTGCAGATTGGGGAATTCTTAACTTCATGAACGAGTGTGATATTTAACCCTTTGAAAAGAAAATTGATGCATATGTTAAGTCCCTTAACGGTATTATTAATAATGAGCAAGGAAAAAGAAATGAAAGAGCACGTATACTTCTCAAAAGATATAGTAAGGCAAGTAAATAACTTTTATTTGATCGAAAAATGCGAAAAGAAAATGAATGCGTGGTGGGAACCTTTTTGATTCTTTATCATTTAAAACTTTTTATTGAGCACTAAAACCAGTGCAGGGGCACAAGTGACCTTCTTGGTTATTTGATGTTAAAGGCTTCTTGCCGACCCAGCATTGATTCTGTTAGAACACAGGTGACCTTCTCAGTTGTCTGATATTCAAGGCTTTTTGCTGACCTGATTGGGATAAAATAAAAAGCAAAATCAGGGATGTGTAATTAAAAATAGTACTAACTCACCAATATATAATAGGGTAAACCAGATTATATCCTTGCTCAAAATTGGAAAAAAAAGATAGAATGTCTTGCAATAGAACTTCATTTAACTTTTACGGAGACTATCTGAATAATGGAACAATCTCAAATGGGAATTATACAACAACTACTACTTTAAATGTCAAAGAAAAGGTAAAAATACAGTCATGTTAAGAGTACAGTCAGGTTAATTGCATAAAACTGATATATAACTTCCTTAGAGAGAGCCTTCAGTCCGCAGATCACCTTGACTAATTAAACGTATTAATTACGTTAAATCAGACGATTTAGATGAACAAAAGAAATCGGAAAAGATAAGAAAAGTAAATAGTACCGCTTATTCACAATCTACGGAATCCCTACAACCTGCATATAAAACCCCACCACAAGCTCCACAGGACTTAACTTCATTGGAGATAACTTCTAATAAGCGACTGATAAGTAATGAAGAAATTCTTCAGTAAGTCTCTTTCACTGTGTATACTTAATGAATGAGAGGCAATCTAATAGTATCTTACAATTCCTTCAGATATTCTGAAGACATATCTGTGATATGCGTATTTGATAAAACAATCTCAGAGTTGACTTTAAAAATCAGCGTAGAGTTTGACAATAAACTGTTTTCTGTATGCGACACCAACCCTGAAGTATGAACATCCAATTTAGAAAAATATATAGATACTGCCCTTAAGAATACCAGAAAAAAATTTAAAACTTCTGTCTTAGTTAAAGTTTCAGATAAACTCTTCTGATTATATTACGAAAAAGTATTTCTTGATTTGTACAGTAGCGGTCATAAGTATCCGACCGCCTCTAACTCTGACTACAAGTAAGTAAATTCAAAATTTTTTTTTTTATTTAAAAAATACATAACCAACTAACTAAAATTAATACATTGTG